GTTTATGATTCTTATTCTATCACTCCTCTTTACTTCTAGCATACTCCTCTCCAGCGCTCGTTGACAGACTTTAATTCTGTTGGTAATGTTTGTAAGTTAATATTATTATTACTTACTAGTGACCCGCCCCGGCTTTGCACGGGTGCAATATGCATGTATTATACATATAAACCTTCCTCTTGAATCAATCTATTTATTAAAAAAAAACCGCATCAAAATCCGTTGCGTAGTTTCAAAGATTTAACCCTTTGATTACCGTCATTAAAGACACAATTACAGATAATAGGTTGCGGTCACCGGTGTCCTCGCGTTGTTTGACAGTTTAAGCATACAAAGGGACATAGGGAAAGAGAAAGACGACTTTGTTTTATACTATGTAGTAATAGCGATGATACGTATATTTTTGTAAAGCTTTTTTCGGCCAATCCTTGTCATACATATCCAATTCGTCCCGCCATCTCCTTTTGGGCCTGCCTCGACGTCTATTGACATTGAGTGGGCTCCACTCAGTAGTAAGTTTTGCCCACCGCTCGTCTGACATGCGGCAAACAAGACCAGCCCAGTTCCACTTCAAACCTCCGGCTTTATGACCAACAACGTCAACTATGTTAGTCGTGGAGCGGAGTGTGTTGTTCCTAATTTTTTCCGAGGGTCGAACTCCTAAAAAGAAAAGCTTTACATAGAGAGGACTGGAAGGAGGGTAGGGAGGCCTTTGCCCTGCAGTGGGACGATCATGGCTGAAAATAAATAAATAACTAAATAAACATATACACCGTGATATTTTAATGGTTGTTTTCCCACAGTAAAATTATTCTATTTTAGTAGTACAATAGATTGAGAAAGTTGTTTTTAATTTAAATAAAAAAATAGCAGTTTTACGATAGTGATACACGAAACTTGAAAGAAACCGCGAACCAATAGTACCGCCGCGACCGGCCACCGGCCGCTGTCATTGTCGCTCGCGCTTATCAAAAGGCTGATAACTCAGTATTAACTAACAAGTGATTTCCATTTTCCCTTCATACTCTAACGGGCTTAGGACCGTCGTAAATACTTTTTAACTACACTTACTAAACACAAACATAAAACAAAATTTAATCAAGAGATATTATCTTGTTTATTACTGAATTTGGGAAAGTATTTATGGCGTATTTAAAAAATGAGAATCAACGTATTTACAATGATTTATTTACCTATCTTATTGTTTTATTTACAAATGTACAAGTACTTACACTTCCCGGTAACGGAGCAATTGTTCAAAGTGTAAGCCACCGCGTTCCACACACAATCGTGCACGTTTTAACTGATTGGCTTTCAATTTTAATAATGTGTCTCTGTCACGTCTAATCACATCAAAAGCGTCCACTATCGCACTTTTTAACGCGTCGCGAGTTTCGTACTCTTGCCGATACACAAGGCGTTTGAGATTAGACCACAAATAAAAGTCTAGTGGAGTAAGATCCGGGCTTCGTGGTGGCCATGGCACTGGCCCGCCACGACCGATCCAACGCTGGGGAAACACCGAGTCGAGGTGCTCTCGCACGGCGCGCTGATAATGCGCAGGGCAACCATCGTGCTGGTAATACAGGCCATCCATGGGCACTGCTAACGGAATGTCATCTAGTAAGTCCGGGATAACACTACGTAGCATTTGTAGGTACGTTTCACCGGTTAAGTGTCCTGTCACAAAATGCGGACCAATTAAGCAGCCGTTTATTATACCGGCCCACACGTTTACACTAAACCGCACTTGATGCGCACATTCCCGAATAACGTGTGGGTTATTAAAAGCCCAAAAATCATAATTCGCCCTCGCGTACAATTGCACCATAGCTACGTACTCCACATTAGAAAAAACGTAATGGCGATCCATTTTGGCGGCAATAATATTGTACTGCGCTTGCGTGGTTGCGCGGACGGCGTTCGCGGTGCGACTGGTGTGAATGAAAGCGATGCGAGGCGATGCGGGCCGATGCGAGTGACAGAGAGCGCGGTGGTTGCCTTTGTTGTTT